TTTTATAACATAGCAACCTAAACTTCAACTTTCATATTCTTACCAAAATAAAATTCATACCACTTATTTTGTTTAAATAAATTAGCGGATTCGGGCAATATTTCCATAAACAAATGCGATATCATACATCATATATTGTATTGGATTTTTGTTTATATATTATACGTTGGATAATTTGGTAAAATTTTGTCATATATTTAAAAGTCTATGTGAATAATAAGTATAATTATAAAACTAATATCGTTTATTATCAAAATAAATTTATTTTTCATCATTTACGTCTAAGTTAATAGTAACCCGTAAGTTATGAATAATTGTTTAACGAACTTTTAAATTAGGAACTCAAGTTTTTATTATAAAATTAATTTCCTTATTATATATATATATATATATATATATATATATATATTTCTAAATTTGTTGTCGATTACTTCATTGTTAAATTTATCAACTAATTTTCTAAAATTAAATTTCAGATTTTAAATTTTATTAACCAACATTTGTTCAATGGTCTTTTTGATTTTCAAGAGGAACAAATATCAATTTGTCAAATTATCATCAATATTTTATAACAAGTTATTAATAGAAATATGCTAAAATTTGAAAATCATATCAACTTGATTTTATAACATAGCAACCTAAACTTCAACTTTCATATTCATACCAAAATAAAATTCATACCACTTATTTTGATTAAATAAATTGGCGGATTCGGGCAATATTTCCATAAACAAATGCGATATCATACATCATATATTGTACTAGATTATTTGTAAGAACTGAAAAACACATATCAGTTCGTAAGATTCCCGTGTAATTTCATACCAAATATCCAACAATCGTGTTGTTATGCTATTTTATAACAACATAAAATGTACAACCCTATTCCGTGAATAATAGGTGTATGATTAATGTGATTTTTTGGAGATTTTTGGGAGATGAGGATCTATCCCCTTGCTTGGTTTTTTGATGTCTTTTGTATGTATATAAGCAATAAAATTGAGAAAGAAGCTCTTCAGATAAGAAGCTCTGTAAGTTTTTTTCTTTTATGAAGGAGAAAATTGAGGCGGTGCCTCTGTTATCAGATAAAGGAGAAAGATCAAAAGTCTTCCTCTCCCTATCTCTTTAGCCCATATATATATATTTATATTTAGGCTAATATGGGCTCGTATATCTAATGGGCTTTTACGATAAAACATGACCGCGCAGGGCCCAATAATAAATATGACCGCGCAGGGTCTAATAATAAATATGACCGCGCAAGGCCCAATAATAAATATGACCGCGCAGGGTCTAATTATGATAAATAATTGGGTTGACTGGCAGATTAACTGGTACTTCGATTTGCATACGTCTTGTGGACAATTTGACGTGTCTGTCAAAGTGGCTTCTTTGTGATCTCTGGGTCAAGCTGGCGGTTTTTGGACGTGGACCTTTGTTTTCCGAGAACTCGGTCAATATAAATTAGACAGAAGAACCTGCTATTTATTTTTATTTAATATATATTCACATGTAATATTTTAATAGGCAAGGCCAAAATTAGTTATCAATAAATCGCAAGAATAATATATTGTCCTACTGAACTGATGGCTTCCACCGGAGCAGGTTCCAGCTCTCAGCAGCAAATCAACACCACTGTTCATCATCTCGTATCTGTTGTCCATGTCCCTACAGCAGAAAAGCCGGAAAAATTCAACGGGCTGGACTTTAAAAGGTGGCAACAAAAGATGCATTTTTACCAGACCACTTTGGGTTTGGTAAAATACCTGAAGGACGATCCCCGGTTATTGCTGAAAATGAGACAAATGCCGAACTACACGCTGCGTATGATGCTTGGGGGCAATGTGACTACCTTTGCCGGAACTATGTCCTGAATGGACTTAGTAACGAGTTGTACAATGTGTACAACTCTGTTGGTTCTGCCAAGGAGCTTTGGGCTGCCTTGGAAAAAAAGTACAAGACTGAAGATGATGGGGCGAAGAAATTTGTCGTCGGCAAATTTCTTGACTTTAAGATGGTTGGCACAAAGACTGTCGTGTCACAAGTGCAAGAGTTCCAGCTAATCTGGCATGATATCCATGCTGAAGGAATGACCTTGAGCGAGTCATTCCAAGTAGCAGCTGTGATTGAGAAGTTGCTGCCAGGCTGGAAGGACTTCAAGAATTATCTCAAACACAAAAGAAAGGATATGAGTCTTGAAGACTTGGTGATTCGTCTTCGTATCGAGAAGGACAACCAGCAGTCGTCGGGGAAAGCCCCGATAATGGAGGCTCGTGCAAACTTGCTGGAGCAAGGAAACTCGAGCAAGAGGAAGTCCCTTAACAAAGGGAAGCAGCCAGGTATGGTTTGGAAGTTTACCGGAACCTGTTACAATTGTGGAAAACCAAACCATATAGCAAAAGAGTGCAAGAGGCCAAAGAAGGTTGGGCCAAAGAAAGGGCAACCGAGTGCCCTTTTGGCTGAACATGGCCCTGTGACGGGTGAACTGACCGACTTTGATATGTCGGTGTGGTGTTTGAAGCCAACTTGGTGGATAACCCAATGGAGTGGTACATTGATTCTGGTGCCACTCGTCATGTGTGTTCCGACAAGGAGGTGTTCTCTGAATACACTCATGCTGCGGGTCGAAAACTTCACATGGAAAACTCCTCCACGTCTGATGTGGCTGGAGTTGGCACAGTGGTGCTGAAGCTCACTTTTGGAAAGGAGTTGAAGCTTAAGGATGTTCTGCATGTCCCAGACATCCGCAAGAATTTGGTATCCGGATCTCTTCTTGTTGAGCATGGATTTAGGCTAGTATTTAAAGCTAAGAAGTTTATACTTAGCAAAGTTGGAAGATTCCTTGGTCGTGGTTATCTTGACAAGGGATTGTTCAAAATGAATGTAATGGCCGTGAGCCGTGTAACCGTTGATAATAAAAAGCCTATTTCTGTTTATACTGTTGAGTGCTCTGATTTATGGCTTATTAGATTGGGACATATAAATCTAAATGCAATTAAACGGTTGATGAAATTAGAATTAATTCATAATTCTAAAGTTGAGACAAGTACAAAATGTGAAATTTGTATTGAAGCAAAAATGGCTAAGTTGCCTTTTCAATCGGTGGAAAGAAGTACTGAACCATTAGGCTTAATCCATACTGATGTATGTGATATGAACAGCGTTCTAAAAGTCGCTAGGCGCCCGCTAGGCGCTCGACCAGCGCCTAGCGCCTAGAGCGCCTAGGCGGGGCCTAGGCGGCGCCTAGTCGAGGCCTAGAAATCAATACTAATAACCTTATTTTTTATTTATTTAACTACTTACAAAATAAAACTATCTCTACTTATAATAAATCGACACACTTAAGTCTAAATAATAATATTAATATATTTAAAAAAATGAGGAAAAAAAATGCAATTAGTATTTAAAAAATAAAAAAAAAATAAAAAAACTGTAAAATTGCCGCCGAGGCCGCCTAGGAGCGCCTAGGTCCGCCTACGCCCGCCTAGACACCGCCTAACTGCCTGACCGCTGAGCCCGCCAAGGCCGCCTAGAAGCGCCTAGGGCCGCCTAGGCCCGCCTAGGCACCGCCTAGCCGTCTGGCCGATTTTTTGGCCGATTTGTGCGAATCGGAGGCGCTCGGGCACCGCCTAGCGCCTAGGCGCCGCCTAGGCCGACTTTTAGAACAGTGGATATGAAAAGTGTGCAAACAAGAACCGGTAAAAAGTATTTTGTAACTTTTATCGATGATTGCACAAGATTTTGCTACTTATATTTGTTAAGAAGCAAAGATGAGGTTGTGGAAGCGTTAAAGATATATAATACCGACGTTGAAAATCAACTCGGCAAAAGGATTAAAATAATCCGAAGTGATAGGGGTGGAGAGTATGTAGCTCCTTTTGAACAAATATGTTCTGAATATGGCATAATTCATCAAACGACAACCCTATATTCTCCGCAGTCGAACGGTGTTGCTGAACGCAAGAACCGTACGTTGAAAGAAATGATGAATGCCATGTTGATTAGTTCGAAATACCACAGAACATGTGGGGGGAAGCTATTTTAACAGCAAATCATATCCTGAATAAAATACCACCTAAAGAAAAGATGAGACTCCTTAACAAATGTGGAATAATCGTAAGTCGTCTTATAAATACCTAAAAGTGTGGGGGTGTTTGGCTAAGGTTTCAATACCTGAACCAAAACAAATGAGAAACGGGCCAAAGACGGACGATTAAGTATTTATTGGATATGCGTACAATAGTACAACATATAGATTTCTGGTTCATAAATCAAAAAATCCAGAGGTATCTGTTGGTACTACGATTGAGTCAAGGAATGCTATATTCTGTGAGAATGTTTTTCCTATGAAGGAAAGGGCAAAATCTAGTTCTAATAAACGAACATATGAAACTGCTAGTGGTTCTGTACCAGAGAGTACTAATGAAGAACCGAGACGTAGTAAAAGGGTAAAAACGGCTAAAAAATTTGAACTTGATTTTATTACGTACATGTTGGACGATGAACCGAGTTCCCTTAAGGAAGCTCTGTCCAACCCAAATGGACCACTCTGGGAAGAAGCTGTAAATAGTAAAATCGAGTCCATTATGCAAAATCATACTTGGGAGTTGGTTGATCTCCGTGATGGTTGTAAACCTTTAGGATGCAAGTGGATCCTAAAGAGGAAATATAAAGTTGATGGATCGATTGATAAGTATAAAGCACGATTGGTGGTCAAAGGTTTCAAACAAAAGGAAGGGTATGATTTCTCTGATACCTATTCACCAGTTACGCGTTTAGCGTCGATAAGAGTGTTTCTCTCGATTGTTGCTTTGCACAATCTTGAGATTCACCAAATGGATGTCAAAACAGCATTTTTGAATGGTGAATTGGAAGAAGAAATATACATGGAACAACCTGAAGGGTTTGTTGCACCTGGACAAGAGAGAAAGGTGTGTAGATTAATCAAATCCTTGTACGGACTGAAACAAGCTCCAAAACGATGGAATTTTAAATTTGATGACGTGATGTTGACACATAATTTCAAAATCAATGAATGTGATAAATGTGTTTATTTCAAGAGTACATCAAATATATTTGTGACTGTATGTCTATATGTAGACGATATGTTGATCATGGGGAGTAGCCATGAAGTGATCATGGATACGAAAAGAATGTTGAAAAGAAACTTCGACATGAAAGATATGGGTTTGGCTGATGTTATTCTTGGAATAAGGATTATCAGAACCCAAGATGGAATTGTCTTGTCACAATCTCATTATGTAGAGAAAGTGCTCAAGAAATTTGATACCTATGACGGTGCACAGTCTAGGTGTAAGACACCCCTTGATCTCAGTATAAATCTGGAAGTCAACAAAGGTCAACCAGTGGCTCAGTTATAATATTCACGGATAATTTGGAGTCTGATGTACTTGACGAATTGTACACGACCAGACTTGGCCTATCCGGTGAATAAGTTGAGCAGATTTACGAGCAATCCTAGTCATGAACACTGGAATGATTTGAGAAGGGTACTTAAGTACTTAAGGTACACCCTTGAATACGGGCTAAAATACTCAAGATATCCAGCCGTACTTGAAGGGTACTGTGATACAAGCTGGATATCAGATTCGAGAGATTCTCGCTCCACTAGAGGATATATTTTCTGTATTGGAGGAGGTGCAGTTTTGTGGAAATCCACAAAACAAATGTGTATAGCTTGGTCAACGATGGAATCGGAGTTCATCGCTTTAGATAAAGCTGGTGAAGAAGCTGAGTGGCTTAGAAATTTTTTATCCGATATTCCATGTTGGGATAAGACTTTGCCGCTTGTGATGATTCACTGTGATAGCCAAGCTGCTATAGGTAAGGTGCAAAGCAACTTGTATAAAGGTAAGTCTAGACATATTCGTCGTAGACATAATACCGTACGTCAATTGATCACAAATGGTATTATTTCATTGACTATGTGAAGTCTAAGGAAAATCTGGTTGATCCTTTGACGAAATGATTGAATAGAGATCAACTGACAGTTTTGCTAGAGGGAATGGGCTTAAAAATCTATAATATAAAGAATGATCATAGTGGTAACCCTACCATGCTGAGTGGAGATCCCACAAACTTGGTTCAAAGGGAAAACTAAGCTATGAAAATTCAGTCGAGCACTTGGAACACATGAATGTCCAAAACTATTCCCTAAAGCACTCCAAGTGAAAGATTACCTGTTGATTGTGGTGAGGATAAGTCATATGGACTTTTAATGAATCCCTAACCTTGTAAAGGTGGAGTAAGACATGATACTCTTAATAGAGAGGTCACTTATATAAGTATGAAGTGTGGGCCACTTCAATTGTAAACACTTATGAATTCATTGTGTTGTTCATGGCCAAAACGGATACAACAATAGAACGGAATGGAGTTAAGATTATATTGTGTGAATGTCATTGTCTTGGTGTACACTATGGAGGAATAGTTCAAGGCATTATGTCCACTAGGCCGCGAGTGCATCCGATGATGTTTACTAAGAGAGGTTCAAAGCCAAATGCTACATTTCCTTATGCGATAGAGTTTTGTGAAGATTGAGCACAAGAGTCTGTTTATATGTATATTTCTTTACTTTCTCTTTTGTGTGAGATTGTTACAA